TAAGGATGTAATGGCTTCTAATCACTAAAGCCGACCTATATCTGAACCATGCATGCATTCCTAAAAACGTTTTTGATCACTAAAGCCGACCTATATCTGATCACTAAAGTCAACCTTGATAGTGTCGTAGTGGGGGACCAATTTCAACATTGTAAGATAAAGTACCTATGCAAAACATAAATATGGCACAAAATTGAGCTCCTACAAGAAAATTAGAATTCCTATCACTCCATCACTCCGATCTCAGAAAATCAGAAATCAAACTTAAGAAATCAGAACTCGAATTTAAAAAATCAGAACTCAATATGAACTCAAGAAATAGAACCTAAAAAACACAGAAATCAGATCTTAAATAAATCAGAATTCGAACCTAAAAAACACAGAAATCGAACTTAAATAAATTAGAAGTCGAACTTAAAGAAATCAGAAATCGAACCTAGAAAAACACAGAACTCAGAACATAAATAAATCAGAAATCAAACCTAAAAAGAACTCAGAACTTAAACATAAAAAACACAGAAATCGAACTTAAATAAATCAGAAGTCGAACTTAAAGACATAAAAAATCGAACCTAAAAAACATAAAACTTAGAACTTAAACTAATCATAAATCGAGTCTAAAAAACACAGAACTCAAAACTTGAGGAGAGTTTTTTGTATTTTACCCTTTTTTTTATGATCCTACCTTTGAGTTGGGCTAGGCCTAAACCAAAAAACTTGTGTGCAAGCCCAGGATTTGTGGGTTTGACTGAGCCGGGTTTTTAGTTCAAGCCCTTGTAGTGATGATCATGAGACGGGTTTTAACAAGGTATCAATGATGTTTATGTCTTCCCAAGCCCAACAAGAGTGCGGGTTGGGCATTTGGGCTTAGTCGTATTAAAATCAATCAATTAACTAATTAATAAAATATGAATAATTAATATAAAATAGAAAATAATACAAAACATTATTACTTAAATAATTATTAATAAAAATTAACTAAAATAATATTTAACATTTAATTAATTAATAATTATATATTAATGGGGCTAATTTACCCGTACTAGGAGTTTCAGGCTAGGCACCCCTAGTAGGGATGATCAGGATTCGAGCTTTAATAAGGTATCAATGATGTTTATGGCTGCCCAGGCCCAACCTAGGTGTGGGTCGGACATTTGTGCTTAGTTGTGTATTAAAAAACCCTTAATTAATTAATTAATCAAATAATAATAATAATAATAATAATAATAATAATAATAATAATAATAATAATAATAATAATAATAATAATAATAACAAATCCTAGGTTAGGGCTTGACCCGACCTAAGTTCCAAGCCTAAAATAGTAGCCAAGGTCGGGCCCTACACATGCTCGGGCCTAAGTCTTTTATGTATATATAATATTTTATATTAAATATGATATATGATTAATATGCATATAAATTTATTTTATACCTTATATAATATAAAATATCATATATATTATATATATAATATTATAATTGTCAAATTATAATATTTATATATATATATAATATAGTATAACATAAAAGAACTATATATATATGTATGTATGTATGTATATATTATGTGTAAAAATACATATATTTAAATATATGCAGGTCAGGTTGGGCTCGAACTGGGCTTGAAATAATAGGCCCAAGTCTGACCCTAAAATTTGTGGGTATGATATGAGCCTAGAATTGGGCCGATCCTAAATAAAAAATCAGGCCCAAGCTTAAAATTTCTAGATTGGGCTGGGCTGAAATGATCACTCTCAGCAACCATGGATAACTAAAATCCATAGTTATAGCTATAAATAGTTATTAGCCATGGACAATATGTTTGTAGTTAAAGCCTATACAATTATGGCCACGGGCAAATAGAATCTTTTAGCTGCGATTTTTTTTTTTGTGCGTCTGTAGCTACTAGCTAGTAGCCACAAACAAGTTCCAGTAATTTGTTAAAAAGACCAGGCTAAATGTGTAATTTGGGTTTTTCCCTCTTGTATAGAAAATTTAGAAGGTAGAAACCTAAACAAGAGAGCTAACCTCGGTCTATGAAAACCTCCATTCTCTTGGTAATCGACATGTAGAACTACGCTGATTGTACCCACCATGAACACGACTATTGATCTTTGTTGAAGTGTTTCGGTGCTAGTAATTAATCTTCACTCACCACTGCCACAAGTCACCGTCAGACTATGATGTACGTGTTGGGGGAATGGCGGAACAACAATTTGATCATCGAAGGACGGTGGAGAGGGTTTCTCAATGGAGGCAACTATCACTTTGATGGCAGAGCTGTGTGAAGGTGACCATTGATGATGCTTAGCTATGGAGCTCCTTGGAGATAAGAGGCGACGAAGATGGCAAATCAATGTTCTATTTTTATAGATGGAAATTGAGTACAGAGCTTTGCTTTTAAAATTTTGATGTGAAATTATGCTTCAAAATTGAGGAAAATGTTGATAAGATTGCATATTTTCCTCGATTTCAGGGTTCTTTCACACCTTTACCAAACTGCGGGAAAAGAGATCTACATTGCATTTAATTTAATAATAATAATAATAATAACACACAAAAGTAAAAAAAACAAAAAATTGTAGAAAATATTTGGGTATATCTCTAATATCATATATTAATCATATTAAACAAAAATAAGTGTGACAAATAAGAAAAATTTTTATAGACAAAAATATATAAAAAAATCATAGAAAATTTTGGAAACATACTTTTGTTTTCATTATCATAAAAAAAAATTGCTATGTACAATACATATGCACAGTTACTAGTAAACCCCAAGCGGTTTTTGGCAAGGTTTTAGAAACAAGATCGGACACGAAACTGTTTTGGCTACCGTTTCTGGGTCAAATGATTCATCTGCCTGGTTTGAACGGATGGTCCATTCTATTTTAAAAAATAAAATATTAAAAAATAATTAAAATAAAAATGACTAGAAATCATTGACTATATTGGCAGTTCGACGGTTCGACTATGCACGTCAGGGAATTATTGGCCAAATCAACGATTTTAGGCCCAGGAATGAATTTAGGGTAAAACAAACCAGTTTGCGTGACTGGTTCCTGGGTTTTCAAAACCATGGCCTTTGGTATAGGTAAAAACTTTGCATATAGGGAGTGCTTCAACCGCATTATGCATTGTTCCACACTTCCACTCAGTCCCATCGTTGTCTTTTTTAACTAAAAGAACATTGGGTGCAAATATTCTTTTACCCCACATCATGGTAACGTGTCTTACTACAGAAGTGAAATTAGGATGGGCCCTACATGTGATGTCATCATTCCATGTGGCTAAATTAGGGGTCATAGAGGAAATTTCTTAAGGTCTATTGGTTTATATGGGTTGTGGGAATAGGATTCCGGAATCAGAATTAGAATGGAAATGGACTATTCCCGTTCTAACTATTTGATTGGATGGAATTGAAATCCCATTCTCATTCTTATTTGGACCATTCCCTCCACTTTTCTTGAAAACAGAAATTTCATTCTAACTAATTCCAAAATGAACTCACTGTGCAAAGCATGATTTATATGGTAAAGGTGTGAAGTGTGAACATGAAATTAGAGCTTGTAATACTCGATTAATTTTCACGTTTTTCGCAGCTGGCTTTTACCATTTGGTGCTTACCAGTTAACCAACTTTCCCATAGGCCCCCTTTTTGCCTAACTCTACTTCTATCTCTGTGCGCCATTAAAATTCATCCTTCTGTTACTATATATATATATATATATTTTCCTTCGATCGATGGTATCGTCTCCAGAAATAAAACAAAACGTATATATTTTCTAAACTAAATAAAAATAAAAAGGAAAACACGGTACGAAATATTTTAGTGCAACAATACAAAGCCACAATGAAGGATTAATATAAGTTTAATATGGTTGCATGTTTGTGCTAAAGAGACATTGCCCCGAAAATAAAAAATAGAACGCAGTTTTAGAAAGAGATTTTGCCTTTTTTGGTAGCAAAGGTAACAAAGTGAAGCCAGAGTTTGATAGTTTTGAAAATTTGCAATCCTAATGGAAGGAGTGCATGTTGATAAAAACTTTCCATTCTCATGGCGGCAAGCCAGGAAACGAGATGACCTTAAGCAATTTCGGAGAAGCTGGAATCGAGAGAGTTTCAGTCAACGGTGAACGTTCATCATAGGAAGTATGTCATAGAGATGACATGATCAGCATGATGTAAGCCATTATACATGTGGATCTCACAAACCCTTGAAAAGCGGAAACAGACTATTAACTCCTGAAAAGGGCAAACAATGACCACGAGATTTTATGTGTCTTTCATGCGGAATTGCGGAGCCCATGAAATTTTGACACTTATTATTCTACCAATGTTCGGTTCATAGCCTCATAGCAGCAGCAAAAGTGGGTCCCAATCTTATACAAATTCCTCTTAGCAAGAGAAAAAAAAAGGACTCATAGCAGCTGAAATCTTCTTTTAAATTTGATATTTGCAATGTAATCACTTCCCTTAAAACTTTAATTATAAGTAGACCCCTGAATCCACCGACATGAAAGTATCCAAAATTTTTATCGAGGGTGATTTCTATAAAAATATAAATTTTATAAAACAATAAAATAAAGAGAATTTAAAAATGCATTTTTATATTTAAACAATTGATATAAGGGCAAATTTGGAAAACAAATATTTCAGTCAGAAGTAACTAGATGAATATTTTCGACATTTTCATGCCTCATTTTAGGGGCATTCTTTTTTTTGGATTTTGAGAGGGAAATGTTTTGACCAAAAAATTCATGTTCTTTTTTCAGATTTATGTGGGGTGTAGAGAAAGTTTATTTCCCTGTGTATCACATACCATCTCTTGGACAGGTAAATAACTTTCCCACTGAGAGAAAGTTGTCAATACTTGAATAGGATAAAAATGCCCCTTTTAATAATTAATTTTTTGTGACTAAAATGGTTATTGCCTTATTTACATGGGAAATAAAAGAGCATGGGATAAATAACTTACTGAAAAACGAATGAGGCCTTTGAGAATTCTAATAAAAGGGATCTACTTACAATTATATCAAAAAGAAAAAAGAAAAGAGAAAAAATAATAGTGCCCAAAGAGAAAAAAATGGAAGAAAAGTATAACAGACTAAAACAGTGCAAGATATATTCAACTCTGTTTTACACTTGTACACTTATGCATGCAAAATTTCATTCATTTAAGTGCGACTTGATGTATATGTACATCATGAGAACTGGGTGGCCGGCTGAATCTTCAATTTATATATAGCTTAGCGATGGCCTGAATCCTGATGGATGGGTGTTAGTGGAATTTAGCTAGTTTCATTGGGGCCTGAAGAAGTGGAATTTAACATCGGTGTCAACAATTTTCCACACCGCGGCGATGGTTACTAGAACGCTGAGAATCAGGCCGAGGCATCCGAGCGCCCAGTTGACGCAACACATGACACCGTATCGCTGAGGCTTCCTGACGACGATCCACATGAAGCATGGGTAGGCTAAGGTTATGGGCAAGGCAATCCCTCCCAGCAGACCGGCCAAGCTTGGCAAGAAGGGGAGAGCCACCGCTATAAAGAATGCGATGCAGCCGAAGAGGGCCCTGAATGCTGCGCGGAGCCACCGTGGGCATGGCTTGTTCTTCTTCCTGGTATAGGCGGCCTCCAGGTCGTCGAAGATTGGCATGGCGTAGATTTGGAATGAGCTTAGTCCGTTGATCACAATGAGCAGGCATGTTAACCCTAGCACGAATCTTGACGTTTCGTGGCCATGGAATTTGTACAAGGCGCTCAGTATCCCAGCATTATTATTAGGCATCTGCCATTATATATATGGAAGCTTTACATCATGCATTAGAAATAAAATTACAGAGAATAAGACAATTATCTGCTTGTGTTGAGTCAAAGAACCACTTAACCTAAAAGCTTAAAATGTTAAGTGATGCCAAGTGAGGTCTTTGAATAGGTTTATTTTCTAACATGTCCTCTCACATAAGGGTCCATTGGGCTTGAAGGGTGTACAGAACAAGTCCACCCATACTTTGAGCAAAAACTTAATTAATTATAATGGGATAACAAGAATCAAGTACTAGACCACTTGGTCAAAGTGGCTATGATACCATGTCAAAAAACCATTCAACCTAAAAGCTTAAATTGTTAAGTGAGGTATTTGAATAGGTTTTATTTTCTAACATGTTCTCTACCGGTCCAATCCAATTGGGATCTGTTTTGAACGTATTAAAAATATCTCTCATAAATAATAATATACAAATATGGGAGAAATTTTCATATGCAATTGGTACATGCTATGAGGTTTGTGTGAGGAGAAGATTCAAGTTCAGAGTCTAGCTGTAGTGGTAGAGGGAGAATAAGGTGGCATTTGGGCAAGTCTTTTAGTGTGGTCTTATGGGTTTCTATAAAAGTCAGTCTACCTCCTTGAAAAGATTGAAAGATGCAAGGATAAAAAAAAGACGGAAAATGACACATTTTGAAAGTTTCAAATAAAGCTTTTATGATCTTTTGCACGATAAACATCTTTTAAATGAATTTAGACTAAACCACCTAAAGCTTTAAAAGCGAGACCCCAAAAATCTCAATGCTTCTTTTGGCCATCTTGTGGGCTTATGGAAGAGCTTTGTTTCTAAAAAAAACTTGTCAAACGGCACCTCCCTAATTAAGTTAGGATACTCACCGAATTTCCGTAGGCCCAATAGCCACCAATTGCGAGGGGAAATAAGCAGGTTGCGATGAACAGGTACGCAAGCTTCACTCCTCTCCACATGGGCACGCGAGCCGGATGTTTTAGACTTGACGGCATTGTCCCCTGCAACAACAATAAGTCAATAACCATATATCATGTCAAAGGCAAAGCATCAAGCAAAATTCCTTTGGAACAAGATGACTAGCTTTCTTCCAATATATATATCTACAACAAAGCAAACAATTAATTAAAAAGGGACCAACCAACCTGTATTTCCAGCACAAGATTATGACCTCTGAAAGCAAAAGAAATGATCCCAAGTGCGTTGAGTATACCGCAAATCCTATCGATGTCGGATTTTGCGTCGAGTGGCTTGTAAGAGACATTCGTGGGCCTAGTCTTGCTGACGGACAGGATCCATATGATGGTACAATAGCTCACAGCGGTGATGGCACCGATCAGCGACACTCCGGCGATGGAATTCAAGTTGGGTAGCTGAGCTATAACAATGGCCAGGCACGTGAACACCAAATACCACTCCACAGTCGTCAATGGCTTCTCGTTGCACATGTTCCCGCACACTGTGCGAAAGAAAAGCTTCATGGTTGCACCGTTGAACATGATCAGCGCAACGCAGGAGCCACCTGAGAGGTACTTAAGGGGGAACAGGGCCAGCAGCTTTCCTCGCTTTTCACCTGGGATGACCACCATTGATCACATATATGTGATTAGAGCAGTGTAAAGGTGCGTGCATCTGCATCGATCGGTGCCTGAGATGAGATTTTCTAGAATCTGATAATCCCTAAATCGTTTTCATGGTGGGCCTGGCAACTGGTTCGGAGTCCAGTTCGAGCCGGTGCTGGGTTATACAGTACTTAAGCTTTCGGCTTTCCCAACCTCACCGCCATGACGAATCGATATCGAGAAGGGACTAGGTAATTCCCGTCCAGAGAGGTCTGTGGCATTAATGGGTCAATCAATAGCTTTATCTGCTGCTGAGACTCAAATTATGATGACATACACAATGAAATTAACATGACGCAACCCCTTCTCTATCGTGTCTCACAAATTAACCAGAAATTCTTCTGTCTCCGCGACGAAAGACCCAATAAGTTTTGCTTTTGCGTGTGTTCTCACGTCGTTGTTGCGGTAAAGACAAAACGTGTTTTGTCTTTTAATTTCAGGGGTTTTGATGTTTTATGCGTAGGTTCATCGCGATGGGATTTGGTTCACCAGCTGTTTGATCAGATGATCTTATTAACTTGACCACTGATCCCTTTATTAATTATTTATCAGGACTTGTGGACAAGGAACGGCTTAGCTGATTATTGTTTTCCCTTCTCATTATGGTGGACAGAATTGGTTGGCGCTTCTACCACTATATACCCACCTAAAAGTCTACACTCTTCCACTTTCTGTTCAGATTGAAGTCTTAATTAGAACACGTAAATTAAGAGGGAATAACGTTGCAGGCATCAACGTTTTGGGGGGTTCGGCATCGATCCAATAGGATGGTTGTTTCTCTTTACAAACATCCAGTTCTTAAGCCTTTTCGCAAACTGATATTAAGCATATGTGGTTTTAAGGGCATTCCGATAATGTTGAAATCTTAAGTCCTTTGTGATTAGCAGCGAGCTTACCGAAAGTTGCCATGGCTAACTGGAGGTATCTGCTGTAGCGAGTCCCAGGCACGGATTCATGGAGATTGACGAGCAACCACAGAGTGTAAAGCTGCCAAGCGAATGCCGTCAACAAACATAGGATCCCCCATGTCCTGAAAGAAAGAAGGGAAAAGAAAAAGAGGAAAAGGATACATCAGATAAAGCCAGCTCTCCTTTCCAGATTGTTTTTTATTTAATTTTTACAGACTAGTCAGACGCTACCCAGTGAAATTGTTTGTTAGAATTTCTTTTCCGATCTTGTGAACCGGGAATTAATCAATATGATAATGCATCCTTAGAAGTTTCATCAGAATCTCGGATCGTGGATTCCAATTATAATTAAGTATATTCTTGTATTATATTCTGTGCGCGATATACTGAATTACTTACCACCCAAGGAAGATGAAGGCAAAGGGAAGCACAAGGGCTTGAAATCCGATTCCGGAACTGAGGGTGTGGAAAGCCGCGTAGTAGGCGTTGCCATTTCTGGACTCTGTGATTGGAAGCCATGCATCTTGGGGATCAAGCTTGGTGATGTGGCCCACGTCTTCCAGGTATCCTTGCATGTTCTTGATCGCTTTCTTCATCGGGCTGGTTAATGGGGTAATTAAGCGCGAGGCCAGCGGGGTTGTGGGTGCTCTTGGGGCGGAATCCAGTAGTGGCGATCGAGTCAGGGATGGAGAATGGAGTTGGAAGGGAGGGACCGAGATGGGCGGTGTCCTTGCTACAGATGCAGCTGTTCTTACTTCAACCGATTCCATTTCCACCATCTCACAGACTTCACCCATCTCTCTCTCTCTCTCTCTCTCTCTCTCTCTCTCTCTTCTCGACTCGATCACAGAGACACCCAAAACACTCATGTATATATACTAATTGTTTGCAGCGGTGAAGTTGGTAGGTGTCGATGTTGATGGCTGGCTTTCTTTAATCTTTTATTTATTCAGGCAGATTGAGGTTGGTTTGTCTATTGACGGTCAGGAACCAGAAAGTAGGAGCCTCGGAAATAGAACAAACACCGAGAACTCATGAGGGCCGCCTGGGCGAAGAGACCGGACCGAGCAGAAGCCGTAGACTGACTAATCACTATTGGCTGCTACATGGTTGATGTCACATAGTGATAATGAAATATAATTGATAATTATTTAAAGCGATCGATTCCTAGCTAAATGCTAAGGCCTCTTTCTTTTACCGGTAACCGGATAATTAATCAATTTATTAAATTTGGGTCTCATGAAAAGATTATTTTTTAGTATTGATTTTTTGGGTAATTGATACTTTCCTAATGTGGGTAAGATGTTGATGCAAATAAATATAGACACCACAATTTATTCGAATAACTTTTGCCTTTGCCCGGATGAATACATACATAGTTACCGGTAAACGAATGGGCCTTAATATAAGGAAATATATGAATATTAAGACAGTGGGGGCCGATCTATCTTTATACTACTCAAGAATGTGACATTATGATTTTCTTCATGTCCATACAGAGAGATTAGTGGTTGAATTATTACATGAGAATCATCCAAATAATCTAGCACTTTCGTTGTTGACAAGCCAAAATTCCAAGTCCAAGTCCATATTCTGGATGATTGCCCACATGTGTGGACTCGCCATCGGATTGCGACTTGGGGTTCAGCCGTCCAGGCCCTTTGAACAACACCACACTAGCTACTACATATTTCATATCGGACGGTGCAGAGAAGATGCTTAGAAGATCTGTTCACTTTAGGGCATAAGCGGCCCCTTTGTGAGGTGCACTACCTGGAAGGCTGGAACTGGGTAGCGGTGCCTAGTGAAGGGTCTAATCACTAGCACTGTATGGGGTTTCTTGTCCCTTTCCTTTAGGTTTAGTGTTTGCAAGAGGTTACTACTCGCTCACTTAAATTAACTTTATGTCTTTGAGACGAAGACTGATTAAAAGTTGATGGAAACCCTTTATTTAGGTCAAACAAAAGCCATGATTTAAGCGAAATTAATTGAGTGTTAATTGTTGATGCCACCTCAGGATTCTCTTATTTAGTGCTTTGGACAGGGAAAGCAATTTCTTGTATACGGCATTCATCAAAACAAAACACTTATTAGGGTTGGTATTAGTATTTTATTTTTGGGAAAATTTCGGATTAGTACCCTGTACTCTGGGCCTAGTGCCACTTTGATTTCTAAACTTTAAAATATGACAATTCAATATTTAAACTTTTAAACATGACACTCTAATACTTACCATTAACTAGCTGTTAACCATCCGTTAAGTGGCATTTGAAAAATACACAAATACCCTTCAAGTGCTATTTAATTTTCCTTATCAACCATCTAAACGTTGACAAAAAATTAACAGTCCCAAATCTTTGTCTTTTCCATTCAAGAAAGTTGGGGTCACATATGAGTGGGCATTCTGGTGACCTCAACTTTCTTGAATAGAAGAGGCAAGGATTTGAGTATGTTAATTTTTTGTCAATTTTTGAATGGTTGATAAAGAAAATTAGATAATACTTGAAGAACATTTGTGTCTTTTTCAAATGCCACTTAGTGGCGGATTAACAGGTAGTTAACAACAAGTACTGGATTGTCATATTTTGAAAGTTCAGATATTGAATTGTCATATTTTAAAGTTAGGAGAATAAAGTGGCACTAAACCCAAAGTATAAGATACTAATATAGAATTTTCCCTTTATTTTCTTTAGAAATTAATTAAATTAGGAATAGCTAGACACATCCGATCCCAATGGGACATGGGGCCTTGTTTTGTGGTGTGTACAGTCAAAAGTGAAAACTTGGGATCCATATTATAAGACTAGACTAGGATATGTATGAATGGGTGGTCACCTTAAACTTTTATTAATCCACCATTATGAAAAAAGAGGAAGATTAAACAAAGGGGAGGACGTAGCCCACCTTTCTCAGAAACTCAAATATAAAGCACAACCTCATCCTCTCAACCCAGCCTACAAGAACAAAAAAAAAAAAAAAAACATAAAAAAAAACAAAACAAGAGCAAAAACACTTTATCCTATACCTAAAACCTCATGAGGTCCCCATTGAGTTAAACCAGGAAAGTAATGAAGATTGTTATTTAAGAAAAAGAAAAACAAAGTCGGATTAATTTTGTCTCTCACAAGTGGTAATGATAAAGCAAGTTGATTAAGAAGGAAAAGGAGATGGAGGTACCACAGTGGAAAGAAGCAACAATCTCCATCTTCAGATTCTATAAAAGAGCCCAATTCTTGGCAGATTGTCTACATTTGACACTAAAAGGAACCCCAATAAGTCTCGTTTGTGGCCAACACAATCGATAGACATAGTGCAAAGTATCACTTCTCTTTTTTCAGAAACACCCGTGAAAGTGCTGAAGAATCACCAAATGAAATTAAGGCTGTGTTTGGTTGCAATGTAAATAAATTTGCACTGACGCAAAACTATGACAGTGCAAATGGTTTGATTGTAAATTCTGACCTATTTTTGTTTCAAATTTTGGCTTATTTTGTTTGATTGTAATAAAAATGAAGTAAACTAAGACATGAATTAAAATAAGGTAAAATAAAAAACAAAATTAAGTGGGAATTTGCATTTTCTTCATTTGCATTCCCAATCCATGCATTTGTATTAATGCAAATAAAATTGTATTGCAACCAAACACAACCTAAGGCTGTGTTTGGAATCAGTGTAAAACGTCATCGTTGTAAAAATACACTGATGACGTTTTACACTAAACCATGAAAGTAACCCTTGCTTTTTGAAAATAGTGATGGGTGGAAGAGTGTAATGAACTTTAAAACTGATGAGATTTTACATCAATTATCAACGTAAAACTCCACTCCATCCAAACGCATGCAAAACTGAACCAAAGTGAAATTTTACATCGATAATAATTTACACCCTTTTTCCAAATGCCTACAAAACTTCTTTATTTACATCACATCCAAATGCAACCTAAAGTGCAAAAGGAAAAAGTGTGAACTGAAACGCGGTAGGCTGCAAATTTCCATATGATCATTGCCGTTTATGTGAAGAGAAAATATGAACGTACTAGGGCTGTTCATAAGAAGGCCCAACCCGACCAAACCAACCAACCCAGACTGATCCAACTCGAATTGGCCAAGTTTTCATAAGCACCAGTCGGTTTTGGGTTGTATAAATTCATAAACCGATGGTTCGGGTCGGTTTCGGTTATCTTGTGTGAAAACCAAAACCGACCCGAACCGAACCGACTTAGTTCCTATTTAACTAAGTTGACTCCATCATAATTCCTAATTACAACCTAACCTAGTCTTCTAGTTCCTATTTAACTAAGTTGTCTCTATCCTACTTTCTATAGTCTTTTACACCAAATAGGCAACCAATTAGACAATTACAATTAGAATTAGGTGTCCTTTTTTACTTAGATTAGAACTTAGAAAGTTTCCTGAAATATACAAATTTCAGCATTCTTTCTATAAAACAGTTTGACTTTCTATTTTCTTGATAACTTTTGTCTTCTATTTTAATTCTAACTTTTTAAATATATTTCCAGAAAATATCTTAAAAACTTCAGTTTTCAGTTTTCAGAATAGATATTTTCTTTTAGACTTCTATGTCCTTTTTGTACAGGAGAAAAACCAAAACTGACCCAAACCGACCAGGTCGGTTTTGCTTAACACTGGGTTGGTTTCGGTTTCCATCTCAGGTAACCCGACCATGTCGGGTTAGTTGGGAAAACCCTAGTAAGCTGACCCAACCCGACCCATGAACAGCCCTAGAACGTACACTAGTAGCTAATGAGGAGCCTGGGCACCTCCTCAAAGACCTCAACCCTCGCAATAGACCGATAGTCCGTCTCTGCACTGCCAAGCTACTTTGAGTCTTTGACTCTTAATATGTCTTTCATAAGACGAAACAGACCACATATCCTGGACAAGGGGACGGTTTTTAAAATTGAATTGGACAATAAACCATTCAGGGGTCTAGTTCCTGAGTCGAGCAGTCTGACCATTTGAATCAAATGGATGGCCTATTCTGATAAAAAAACAAAAAAAAAAATTAAAAAAGTAAAAAAACAAAAAATGATAAAAAATTGTTAAACTCGACTGCCCAGATTAGTGATTTGCTGATCAAATCAACAAATTTTGGCCAAAAAACAGTTATAGAATAAAACGGGACCGGTCAAGTGATCGATTCGAATCCGACCATCTGGTCAAGTCCGGTTATGAAAACATTGGACTAGGGTTCATCGCCATAGGTGAACTTGGGCTTCAAGTTATTCATCATTTGTATGGATTGTGATTCTGCCAACATAATAAATGTTGTTAATCAGTAATATTTTGCTTATTCGCCTTCAATGTGGCCGCTGTTAAAGGATTTGTATAACCTAGATGGCTCAGGTTGTCCCTTATTAATAGAACTTATAATGGAGCAGCTCATGAGTTTGCAGCCAAAGGAAGATCTGGTTTAGTTGCTGTTTCGGGGTTGGCTTCGTTGCTGGCTGGGGGTGAGTTCGAGGCTATTAGCTAGTGAGGTTTCAAATCCTACGGTTATCAAGAAAAACCGAAATTTTGAATTGAACTGACTAGGCCAAACGGAAAATTCTGGTTAATTGAACTGATTAGTTCAATATTTTTGAAAAATCAAAGATACTGGTTCAATTTTCATTAATCAATATAAAAAATCAGTAGTTAACTGAACCAACTAGTATATATATATATATATATTAAAATGAATATATATATTTATAATATATAATATATTATTTGTAATATAATATTATATATTTCTAATTTTTATTATATATGTATATATTTATTTATAATATATTTTATAAAAATCAAAAAGACTGAAAAACTGACAAACTAAACTGGCAGTTAACTAAACTGATCAACTGGATAACTGATCGGCTTCAATTTGGTTTTGGTTACCAGTTCTCCAAAAACCAATACTATTGGTTTGGTTTGAAAATTAGGCCCATGGTATGATTAACCGAATTGTGAGCACCCCTAATAAAACCTCCCTAGGGTGGTCTTTTTTCTTTGTTTTTCTCTCTTTGTTTTTTTTTTTTTTGTTTGTTTTATTTCTAGCTGTTTGTTTCTCTATTTTTTTACCAAAAAAATGGCCATAGGTGAACATCTTTTTTTGGGTCATTTATTAGAACACCCTTATAGTTTTATGGATTTATTTAAACCTACCCTATGGTTTTCA